ACCCATGGCTGAATGGTATAGATAGTGGTCACACCTGTCCCACCCATGGCTGAATGGTATAGGATAGTGGTCACACCTGTCACATCCATGGCTGAATGGTATAGGTTAGTGGTCACACCCTGTCACACCCATGGCTGAATGGTATAGGTTAGTGGTCACACCCTGTCACACCCATGGCTGAATGGTATAGGTTAGTGGTCACACCCTGTCATGCCCATGGTGAATGATATAGGTTAGTGGTCACACCCTGTCACACCCATGGCTGAATGGTATAGGTTAGTGGTCACACTGTCATGCCCATGGCTGAATGGTATAGGTTAGTGTTCATACCCTGTCACACCCATGGCTGAATGGTATAGGTTAGTGGTCACACCCTGTCACACCCAGTCACACCCATGGCTGAATGGTATAGGTTAGTGTTTACACCCTGTCATGCCCATGGCTGAATGGTATAGGTTAGTGTTCACACCATGTCATGCCCATGGCTGAATGGTATAGGTTAGTGGTCACAACCTGTCATGCCCATGGCTGAATGGTATAGGTTAGTGGTCACACCCTGTCATGCCCATGGCTGAATGGTATAGGTTAGTGGTCACACCCTGTCATGTCCATGGCTGAATAGTATAGGTTAGTGGTCACACCCTGTCATGTCCATGGCTGAATAGTATAGGTTAGTGGTCACACCCTGTCACACCCATGGCTGAATAGTATAGGTTAGTGGTCACACCCTGTCACACCCATGGCTGAATGGTATAGGTTAGTGGTCACACCCTGTCGTGTCCATGTAAATATAATATTGTTAGTCTTGTCTTTTTCTTCAACTATGCATATTTTTTAAATTAATTTTATGTTTATTCAGTAGGTAGTGACTAAAAAGTAGCTTTCAATTTACCCCTAAGCAAGTCTTGGTGAATAGAAATTCATTCACCTTTTATGTACAATGTGTACAATATTTGCGTACCTGACATTTTGCCAAGTGCCCCCTTTGTGTGTTATTATAAAAATATTATTATTAAAAAAAGTTATTCAATTCCGGTTGTATTTTCTATTCAAAATGAGTAGTGACTGGAAAAAGCTAAATATTTTGGGAAGCAAACAGGAATTTTTATAACATATATTTATCAGTAGTCTGTTTTTCTATGATATATATATATTTGTATCTCTAATTTATGTTGATAATACATTATTCACATTAATATCATTATACTAGTGACTGGAATTATAATGACAGTGCCTTAGGGTGAACTTTGTTTTAATATGGGATTCAATACATTAGAGACTCCAAGGCTGCTAATATGGAATATATAATATAAAAATTTGCATTTTCAACGTCAGACATCCGGGCATTTTCGCCTGGTAACCATCGCAGTGAAAACAAAGGCCAAAAACTCTCAGAAAACTGTGCTTTGTGATAGTTGTTGAGACTCCCCAGAACAGAGTAACAAGATTACACCTACATGTACATGTGCAACAATTTGGTTGCTTAGGATTACCTCAAAATTGAATTTGTGCTGTTTTCTTGACTTTAGCTGTTTTAGCTATTGACATATTGACAAGTTGTAGTATTTATTACAGCATTTTTAGTCCTCGTTCGGACGAAGTTTGAAAACGGGGACTTATAATTCGGCCTCTTTACGTCCGTGCATCCCTCCGGAGTCGTATCTCAGAATCCCTTGGGCCGATTCCGTTCATTCTTTGCATGTGCCTAGTACTTTATGTGGGACATATACACATGCAGTGGTTTAGCGATTCGATTCAAAATGGCCAACTGGCAGCCATCTTGTTTTTTGAAAATGTTCTATTTTGGACATGCTGTGTCAGTTTTCATTAAAACTTGGTACATAGATTATACATGTTAGGATACATGTCCATGACAATTTATTTCACAATTGGATCAAAGATGGCTGACTGGCAGCCATCTTGTTTTTTGAAAATGTTGTATTTTGGACATGCTTTGTCAGTTTTCATTAAAACTTGGTACATAGATTATACTTGTTAGGATACATGTCCATGACAATTTATTTCACAATTGGATCAAAGATGGCTGACTGGCAGCCATCTTGTTTTTTGAAAATGTCGTATTTTGGACATGCTTTGTCAGTTTTCATTCAAATTTAGTACATAGATCATACATGTTAGGATACATAGGCCGTCCGTGAGTTCCTGAGTCTGTTCAGTCGTCTGTGCGTCAGTCTGTCCAAAGTCATATTTCAAAATTCTGTGGATCGATTTCGTTCATTCTTTGCATGTGATGCTCGCTACAAACCCCTCCGCTTTAATATGATGAGCACAAAGGGAACTTTCAAAAATTTTACGGGGACTGTGCCATTTTCAATGACTTGTTTAAAATTACCTGATGAGTTTACTGTAGTTTATTTTACTTTGATTGCTAGGTGTTCTCATTGAGAAAGCAGTCCACTCATCGGATCCAACATGAAGGCTATAGATTCTACATATGTAACCTGTCAGCAGATACTATAGTATATAAGGTATGTAAACTAATTGTCAACTCTGTATGAATGTCTATTTATAAATTGGCACACCCTATAGACATGTATATAGGGTTGTATTGAATCTAAACACTGAATTAGACAAAAATTAAAAATACCTTGACATGTCAGATAAAATTGTTGTCTGCTTCAGGTATAATACATTTGAAGAGGGTCGGGTCTGCATTGGGTATTTTCGTGAGCTGTAATCAATTGTTTTTATTTTCGTAATAATGTATTTTAAATACGTAAATTCATAGACCTGGGCAAGGTGTAAAATGTAATCAGCTATTTTATTCGTTTGTAATTTGTACAAAGATCTTATTTTTTGTAAGCATATAAAGCATTTCCCATGTTAAATTTCGTAATTTGTAATTTAGATTCTTAAACAACAATTATCAAATGTATTATAAAAAGTGAAAATGTATTTAGGAACTTGCTTTATCTGTAAAGAGTAAAAACAAATTTTATACTTTCATTTTCCTGTAAAAACATAGAACGCTTTTTTTATTTCCCGCAACCTGTACCAGGCATCTTCCCCTTGCCCCTTCTTTTTGAAGATTTTCTATTTATTAGCCATGTGCTCACCTCTGACCTCTGACATTGTAGTGAGATTATCAAATTAGTTCTTTCAGGTCACCTTCGACCATAGAACCTTTATTGCCACTTATTTTTCCATTATTTTCATTGGTGGGGTGGGAAAAATAGAACCCAATGAAAATACTGTTAAATATTTTTTTTAGCTGGAACTAGTTTTCAATTGTTGGATTTTTTGTGCGAAGTTTATTAGACATGCCTGGACATAGATACATTCAAACTCCACACATACATCGTACATAATATTATACATATGCACATCAATTTTTTCCACAATCTGATTCAAGATGGCCGGATGGCAACCATTTTTATGCTGAAAAATCATCAAAATCGAGAATTTATGGATGGGACCTTGATGCATGTCGTTTTATTTTTCAAATCTGATTCAAAATGGCTGAGTGCATTAGTTCTAGAGCCAAATTTCTGACACACTTTGACTGATTATGTTCAAATTTGATATATTCATTTTACATCATGTTATAGATATACAGATGTATTCAAAATGGCTGACTAGTGGCCATTTTGTTTTAATTAATGCTAATCCAGAAAAATATCTCCCAATATGGACAAGTAATTTCAATGTTAAAAAATGTTTATGTTCCAACTATATTACTATAAACAAAACTATGTATCTCAAGTTTGATAACTGACAGAGACTGTGTCATGCATGGCTTGTTTTAAACTTTTATTTTTAAAATGAAGTGAGTGTGTATTCAAGACATGTTAGAACAGAGAAAGCATTGAAATGCATCAGTGCTTTATTTCAACATTGTATATTGAAATCTGAATGTATCTATAATTGTATTACTGTACTGCTGTCCCTAAGGATTTAATATTGTCTGTTCAATTCCACACATTGTATATTGAGTGCGTGTTACTGACTATTAAAAACTCAAATGTTTCATCCCCGTCAACTTATGCACCCAATGTCACAGCATGGCATATTTCCTAATGGTTGGTAGAAGACAAGGAAGGCAACTGAAAATTGATCTGAATATTAATATTCAGTACATCCTACACTTTGAGCTTAACTTTAATACCATCTTAAATCTAATCTGATGACAAATGTAAATTGCTGTTTGATGATAATTTGATTTGGTTGAAAGGAAGTAATAAAATAAATAATTGAAACTAGTGTGTACATACTCTCAATTATTCTGTGTCAGTGCCTTGCTATTACTGCAACATATTGAGTACATAATTACAATATCTCATTAAAGCAGGTATATCATGCATAAATTTGTTCTACTATTGTGAGTTTCTAATGCTGAGGGAAAATACATGTATATTTATTCCCATTTCTAATGTGCCAAGAAAATTTAAGTATGCTACATATCTCACCACGTATAAAAATTAAATATTATTTCAGACTTTATATTAGGTGAGGGACCCTCTCTCCTCATCCCCACCAATTAATTAGTATTCAAACCATGCTTCTATTGTCAATGGATTTTAGAGGCTGTATAAAATCCATCTTTTTAACCAGTTTATTGAAAGCAAAAACAATATTTGAGAATCACCATGGATACGAATGATGTCATACATTGAGTTTATAATGGAGTGTTAATAGTTTCAAAGAGATTGAATTGCAAAGAAGGTAATTAAGTATAAATCTTACTGCTTTGACAAATATTAGTGATTTGTTCTTGTCTTGTGTCTCAATAGATGATGTGGTACATCAGACTGAGGCGTGATGCCAGATGTATTCATTTATGTTTTAGCACAAATGATAATCAATGAAAACACAGATATGCAAATTAAATGTATTATTGTATTTCAACCCTGAAAAAGATCTTTTTTTTTTAAATCAGATGTAATCCATTGTAACAAGATCATGGTCACCTGCATGTATTTGTATAGATGGGTATCAATGTGTTTCGTTTCCTAGCAACTAAAAAGAAAGCTATACTGCTCAGTTTTAATCTTCACAGATGTTTTATTTTGTTGGCTCAGCTGAGATGAAACTGAGATATCAACAATGCTAGAAATGTCTAGTATTGTGTTAATTATAAATATAAAAAAAAAATTAATTATACGATCAATATGTTTCTGAACATACAATATCCATACATTATGGTGTCCATATGTTAAATCATGGGGAGTAATTTTCTAGGATGAACCAATAAATAAAATGCCACATCAACAGCAGAATAACCTACTTGTATATTTACTAGGTATTGAGTAGGTGGAGTATAGTTATTTTCTCTTAGGTTGACGTCAGCAGACACAAGTGATTACTGCCATGTTACATGTAGGTATCACTCAGAACCTCAGACTAGGATTAATGGTACTCTGGCAGTAATATATTGTGAGAAAATATTGTGGGATTATATATTTATCACATGCAAATTTCCAGAGGTTGAACTACAGAGGTTGAAAGTGGGAATATTTTTCTTTTGCTGAAATAACACTGAATACAAATTTATCATTGCACATGCCTCATATGCTAATTTTGTTGACACTGTAGTGATCTTTCTCGCATGAACCCATTGCGTGCACTGAGTGGCTTTTCTGCTACTTTGTGATGTTTGCTTCAGTCTGTAAAGATTTGAGCGACTGAATAATAACTTGCCAAAAAGAATCATTTTCCTAATTATCAGACCATATATTAACCCAAAAACTTCAGATAACCTTTAGACAGCATGTACAAAGAAAAAAAGACTCCTTTATATGACGTCAAACTATGTGATGTGTTTTTGATCTGTCCTTTATTACGTCACATGAACATTATGCATGTGATATATAGTGATACAGAATTACAACAGCAGTGCAGTTTTAAAAAAACAATTTCTTGATTGACATTTTGAGTCTCTCTAAAAATAGTATGCTATCATAAATTGATCTGCCTCGAAGGCCATGTTGTTGGCATATCGGCAGTTTTATATTCATTAGAATATGCATGGTTTAATATTAATAGTAGTTGGCATTGTAATATCACAATGGTTTTCAATATATTAATAAATTTCAAATTTCAAGTACTACATTTTCAACCATGCTTCCAGGCAGTCCATTTGTTTGCAGATGAATCAGAAAATGATTTTTTGATTTGAATTATCAACAAACCACTATCTTTTGCTTTACAGCATCTTAAAGGGTGGTAGTTGTCGCACAACACCTGAATTTCATATAAATGAACAATGTATTTTACACTGTTTGTGTACAACGCTACACCAAACAGGGTGTGGTACGATGATCACATGGGAGATTTTGGATATGTATAATCTAATATAATCAACAATGTGCTAAATAATTTTCTTCTCTTACATTTATATCTTCGAATATCACAAATTTGACAAGAGAGCTAGTTATTTGCAATAATTTTATTAATTTGTATAGTATTGTGTGTGTGTGTGTGTTAGGATTCTTTTAATGAAGTAATCTTTTGATAAAATGCAGACCTTGTTGATTTATTATGTAAATAAACACCTTTAACACAGTATTCTCGTTTACTTACAGGGGCAGTTAACAACTCATCAGTTATGGCTGTATTTCAAAGATCTCCAAGATGCAGATTATGAAACACACATAGCATTGGTTCATAGTAGGTTCTCTACCAACACATTTCCTAGCTGGGAACGAGCACATCCAAATAGGTAAGTAACCATGACAATTAATGTAATCTTATAAAATGGTTGAATTTTGCTGTGAAAGGATTGAATCTGGTTAACAAGGGTTGAATCTGGGAAAAGTTGAATTTAGTTATGAAAGGGTTGAATGTGCTTGTGAATGGTAGGATTTTGGTTGTGAAAGGGTTGAATTGGCTATGATAGGGTGGAATCTGGCTATGATAGGGATGAATCTGGTTGTGTGAGGGTTACACTTGACTGAATGGGTTAAAGCTGGGTACAAAATGTTAAATCTGATTGAAATAGTTGTATGTTGGTTAATAACATAGATAATATACTTTTGATAATGTATCCTGTAGATATTTGGCTCACAATGGTGAAATTAACACATTACGTGGTAATGTGAACTTGATGAAAGCCAGAGAGGGTGTTATGAAAAGTAAGAAATTTGGCGATGAACTCAAGAAATTATACCCAGTTGTAGAAGATGGGTTATCTGATTCTGGATGTGTGGATACTGTGCTCGAGTTCCTTATAATGGCGGGTGGTAGATCCCTGCCTGAGGTTTGTACTGATTATTATTAAAATTTCAGGTCTGTAAATATTTTAACCTTGATGTAGACAAGTCCAAAAATTGGGACTAATAATTTAGGTTACAGTCATAGTTTAATAACATCATTTCTTAGATGTGTATTTTTTTCAAACTTGGTACAAAAACAATGCATGATGGTTATATGCATTTTGTCTTTGTGTTGAACAAATATGGCTAGTAATTGAACATTTTTAGTCTACAATAGGCATAAATCCTAATATTTGAACATGTTTGTGACTGGTTCTCTGAGATAAATGGGGCATTGTAATCAAATTTGGCATATGAAAACATATTGGGTTGTAGGTGCATATTGTTTGTTCAAAACCAGATTCAAGATATCTGCATGATTGGTGGCCATTTTTTTAGTCCCTGTCAGACTATTAATTCTTATTTCATTTTTCCGTCTGTGACGTCTCTAACATTTTCTCAGAAATTCTGTAGCAGATATCGATGAAACTTGGCAGGTTGATGAACACGTCTCTTCCGAATATGCACGTAATCTTTCCAGATTTGAAAATCCTAAGTGGGTCTTTTTCATGATTTTCATCCAAAACTACCTCTCCCAACACCACTGAGAGAATAATTAGCTTAGATTGTCAGGGCCACATTTTGATGGGAATTATAGTGGTGATAATGAAACAAACCCAGGTTCTGGTAATATACAAAGACCTGAATTAACAAAGAAGTCAAATTGTTATTAAAGGTACATCAAGGTTTACTCAGATTTATGAATGCAGATTCTTGAGCATGTATGAGGCTTAGTTTGGTTGCACTTGTGTACTCTGGGATTTTGGACCTGGGTTAATGAAAGTTTTCAGTTATCAGATTAAGAGAAATCACTTTATAATGAGTTGTACCCACATAGAGTACATATTAATTCAATTGTTTACAGATGTTCCATGTATTATTTTAACATGAGTATTTTATAATTAAATAACTGTGACATTTATGACTTGTTCGCTGTATTTCCAACTAAGGTTGAACTTTTAAGTTTAATCTCAGTGACTTCATATTAATGGAAAATATAAATGGCACTTGAAATATTGGCTTGTATATATTGATTTTGGTAAACCTGTTCACACAAAATAGAATGAAGATACATGTATATTTATATATCAAAGAGGAACTGTCAGCTGAGAAAATCCCATTATAAACACCTGCATCTAAATCCACATACTTGTTTTTATTGTGATAATAAATAGTTGCCAGTGTGCCCTCTAAGTAGAAATAACGCATCACTGATGCACACAACTTTTTCATGACGAAACTGGCATGTCAATGACATCACAGAAATCATATAGTGATCTCCCGAACAAAAAAATATGTAATTAAAAATTTTGTGATTTTGTGAAATGAAATTTATTTATTCTGAAGACCTCTTTTTCCCCAGGAGTCAACAAACTGATTCAACTTGATTTTTTGAGATCCATTTTGACTCAAAGATGTCTACAAAATCAGTTTTGTTAAAAGGAAGATAACAACATAACATAACTAACCATTCAGGGTTACGAATTAATTTGCTTCTCTGACTGTCAAAGATTAAATCAAATATGGGTGATATGTCAGGCTGCTATTGATAACATGAAATGTATGGAATTCTGTAGGCTATGATGACTATGGTACCAGAAGCCTGGCAGAACGATGTTTTGATGACTAAAGAGAAAAAACAGTTTTATAAATGGAGTTCATTTGCCATGGAGCCATGGGATGGACCAGGTGAGTCAAGTCTATATATTTTGTTAAATGTTTTTGATTGGATAAAAGATACTGTAGAATACTTTATTTTCGCTTGGAATTTATTTTCGCTATTTTCGCTGGAGGGATGATTCCGTGAAAATAAAATCCAGCGAATATACTTTTTTTCCTATATTTCACATTAAACTCATCAAAAATCAGTGAAAATAAATTCCATACAAAACGCCCAAAAAAGCCTTTTCAGCGAAAATTAATTCCAGCGAAAATAAAGTATTCCACAGTAATACAGAAGTCGATCCATTAAATATTATGCAAATTATCTATAACAAACTATAAAAATGCTTAAATGACTTCTACTATGACACTATTGGGTCTCCATGGCTGATACTGGTGGGTAAAAATATTCTATTATAACATTCTAATACTGATCGATGTTGAATGATAAATAAATAATATTTGTATATCTGGGATAATAAATTGCCAAATTATGGAATTATTCCCTCCCCTCAAAAAAACAAAATGTCCAATCCTAATTCATGTGTGTGTGCGTGTGTGGGTGTTGCTTAAAAATGACGTCATTTTTAGTGATATCCAGTACTGTGTATAGTATAAACCATTATACTTGTAATTGTTCTGTAATTGATTCATGAACAATATTGAAATAATGTGTAGTCCATAATAGCAGGCTGACTTGGGTCTCAATGTACTGTTAAATAATGCCTGTGCCATTCTGGCAGGTTACATGCTTGGAAGCAATTATTCTGACAAGGTGGATCCCACCAAGGCACTAGGAGAAGAAACTTGGTTTGGCTGTCTTGTGACAACAACACAATTTATGTTACTGTTTCACAAAAAATGTTTGCCTGTAAAAACGGTAAGCAGGAAACAGATGACTATTTACTTTTCACCAAGATTAATTTAGTAGTAGTACTGTAGTACTGTTTTGAGCAGAGTGAGAAGTGAGATGAAATGTTTCTAAAATAAAACCTTCACCTTGCAATGATAATAAACATAGACATTACTAAGCCTTAGCTATGTCATTTCTTTGGTGAATGTTGCACCTTGGTCAAAATACATACTCATGATTTCAATTAAAAAGAGCACATTGGATTGTGGGAGTATCAATGTTTATCAACACAAATGACTTGCATGTGCGACGCGGCGACCACTGCCTTTTAACAATCAATGGTAAAAGAACTGCCAATCTAATTGAAACTGGGTTTGTAGCTGCATAGAAATAATGATAGACCTGATAAAGTTTTGGTGGAAATTGACTAAATCTATATCTGAAAATCTATTACTTGAATAAATTTTGTCTACTTGATTGCCATGTGTTAGGCATACAATGGGAGTTGTTACAGTTTACTTCATCTGTGTAGGTATATAGATGTCTATTTATGTGTGTCTGTTCCATCAATATCTCATAAACCAATCATTAGATTTTAATGATGCTTTCTGATAATGGGCAGACCTGATAAGGTTTCAGTTGGAATATGTGCATGTTACTAATATGTTGAAAGTAAGCCTCCAAGACCTGTTGGATTTTTTGGTGAATTATTAGTACCATATTAAACACTGTCTGAAAACACACAATTTTTTTTTTTTTAAATATGGGAGTTGTCACCTGTGCACATGCGGGAAATGAGTCCTAACTCACGCTTACAATGGAAACTAAAAATGCAAAGGCTCATGGGTAAATTCTTTTTGTAAACAATGACATGGCACTTTGTCATATGATATCTACAGATATCTACTTCCCCACTTTAAATTTTCTCTTTTACACCCAAAATATGACAAATAATTAAAAATGTTTGGGGTTGCTAGTTGCAATTGTTACAAAATGTCCCAAACTACAATCAAAATCAATTGAGGTGTGTGAAATAACTTCCAGTTGTTTTCTTTATTTGTACAGTTGATAAGAGCATTATATCCATTATATCTGATCACTTGTCTAGAATGCAAGACAAAACTACACTCTTCCAATATGAAGCTATGTTTAGACTAGTAGCAATTAGAATGGTGCTGTGTTTTAAAACAATTCTAAAAATGTTTTGATAAAACGTTCTGCATTTCATGCAGCTCAATTGATTTTGAGACAACTAAACCTGTGTACACTTATGTTGTAGAGCTGTACATTCCTTTATATACATGTATGCTTATATCATCTTGTATGTTTGACAGATTTGAGTTTGTTTGTTTTGTTTGTTTTTCTGTATTTTCAGCTTTATTTACATTCACGGATGGTAGATACATTGGGGCTATATTAGATCGGAATGGGCTTCGTCCATCTAGATATTCTATCACTAAAACAGGACAAATGTACATGGCTAGTGAAGTTGGTGTTACTAATGTTCCTGACAATAATGTCACGCAAAAGGTGAGTAACTGGATCTCTGCTATCAAAACCCAAAACTTTGGTGTTTCAGCTGTAAACTGAATAATTTCATATTTATGTGAGTTGAAATTTCAGATTACTAACCTTATAATATCATTTATTAATTTATGCAAAATTATTACAATATTTGCATACATTAAGGAGCCTATTATGGGATGTATGTCATAGGGCAAAATATGTTATGCATAGATAATGTTTAGTTCAAGATGCATGTGCTAACTTGCATGCATTAAATGTACACATCTCTCACAAATGAAAACAAAAAATGTCATCTTCCCAACAATTCAAATTCACTTAATTTGTTGTTGTCATGTTTTCCCATAGCAACTAGTGCATTGAGAGTGTGATTTTTGTTATAGGGTCGTTTGCAGCCTGGTAGAATGTTACTTGTGGACACTAAAGTTGGATCTGTCATCAAGGATGAAGAAGTGAAGAAATATGTCTCTACATCAAGACCGTTTGGTGACTGGCTAAATTTCCAGGTATGTGTATGTGAAGAGATAGTTCTCCATCTAAGTCATGATGACACATAGAGATTGTTGTAACGTAACTAGTAATGCTCGATTGGTATTTTTCAACAACCTTTTACTATAGTTATTGAATTTCAATGGTAAAATGATGTTTATATTTTATAAATAAAATAAGGATAAAATTTTGTTAGATGTGTTTTGCTGGCTGTTGTATGCCAATATATCATGTCTACAAGTAGGAAAAGTTGTGTAATAAAAAGGTTATTGCAGGAATACTACAATGTATGCAAAGTACAGGATCATATACATTACACTCAGTTGATATGATTACTGTAAAATACTTTATTTTCGCTTGGAATTAATTTTTGCTGAAGGAATGATTCAGTGAAAATAAAATCCAGTGAATATACATTTTTTCCTATATTTTACATTCAACTTGTTAAAAATCAGTGAAAATAAATTCCATACAAAACACTCATCAAAAAGTCTTTTCAGCAAAAATTATTGTAGCTAAACAAAAGTATTTTACAGTACTCTTCTGCCCTTGTGTATATTTGTAATAAAATTATAATATTGTACAGTCAGAAAACTATGAATACTTTCATGGTTTATATTATTTTTTTACAATTGTTATTTGATGTCATCAAGACAGGCACATGTATTTTGAGATATATATTGATTATTGTTTTAGATTGGATTAGAAGAATTACATGCTGCTCACAAAAAACCTGACATCATTAATAATGTAGTTGAAAAGGAGCGTGTACCTGTGGAAACTGATCGTAGATTAATAATGTTTGGCTATACAGTGGAGCATATTAATATGCTGGTCTTGCCAATGGTTAAAGATAGGTAAGAAAATTATTTTTCATTC